CTGAAACCAGAGCCTGTCTAATCTTCACAGGCTCAGGAATGCCATGGATGTCCTGGAAGGGATGCTCAAGGAAGGAGGTTCTGGGACATGGGAGGGGCCTTACCTCCTTGCTCTGCTTGGGGTAGTGTCCTAGCTGGAGACCAGTAGGGCAGAGTGGAGAGTGGGATCGTTAGGAGTCAAATCTAGTATTAGTACCCTTCCCCTGTAGGCAGCTAAGGAGGAAGAGAAAGTTTTAGTATTCTTTGTTACCAGGCAGTCTCTGTGTGTTTCCCAGTTGACTAGGAAAGCAGAACATGGAGGTATATGGGATTGGTTGGGAAGGGTAGCCTAGAGAGGCTCTGGAGACTTCCTCTTTCCCTCTGTGATTCTCCTCAGCTCAAGACACAGATGTGGCAGCTCCTCAAGGGCCACGACCACCTACAGGATGAGTTTTCTATCTTCTTTGACCACTTGCGCCCAGCAGCTAGCCGGATGGGTGACTTTGAAGAGATCAATTGGACTGAGGAGAAGGAGTATGAGGTATAGGCCCTGAGGCTGCTGTAGCCTTATGAAGCGGGGAGGCCACACGTGGGAGGGATATTGGCCTGGTGTCTGTGCTGAGCAGCACCAACTCCTTCTCAGTTTGATGGCTTTGAAGAAGTGGCCCTGCCTGATGTGGAAGAAGAGGAGGAGCCTCCCAAGATACCCACAGCCTCAAAGAACAAGAGAAAAAAAGAGATCGGGGTCCAAAATCATGATAAGGTATTTTCTTTGTTTGTTTGTTTTTGAGACAGAATCTCGCTCTGTCACCCAAGCTAGAGTGCAGTGGTGTAATCTTGGCTCACTGCAACCTCCACCTCCCAGATTCGAGCGATTCTCCCACCTCAGCCTCTCAAATAACTGGAATTACAGACACATGCCACCACGCCCAGCAAATTTTTGTATTTTTGGTAGAGATGAGTTTTCACCATGTTGGCTAGGCTGGTCTCGAACTCCTGACCTCAAGTGATCCACCCGCCTCGGCCTCCCAACATGCTGGGATTACAGGTGTGAGCCACTGTGCCCGGCCTAAAATTATGATAAGGTATGCCAGGTTATTGAAAAGCATCTATGTTTCATGAATCAAGCCTTGCGTTTTCTCACTAATCATTTCTCTGGCTTACTATGGCCCAAGGTTTCTAGTTGAAAGACTCTAGGATCTGAGACAATCATGGAGAACAGACCAAAGGTCAGGCTGAGACAGACATGCAGAGCCTTTGGGAAAACAGTGCCGTTGTTGCAGGGGCCTTAGGATTCCCTAGTTAGGAGGATTTGTTTCTTCCCCTTTTCTCTCTAGCTCGGAGTTATTACCCTTAATTCAACTTTTT